AATAGAAATATATTACGTTTTTTTAGTTTCAAGTTTCGCTTTAAGAATGTTAGCGGCATTTTCCTCTGAATGTTATTGTTTTAAACTCCTTGTAGAGAGGAAACTTTAACCAATTAATAGTGGACTTAATACTTCATTTTCAGTAGGGGGTGGGATGAGACTAATTTTTCAAAATTTTATGTTCTTTCTATGCATAAAATTAGTTTTGTTGTAAATGTTGAACTCGAGTAGGCGAATACAAAAATCTAAACACTGTAAAGGTTTTTTTGAAAATATCTTTTAAATGGAGATGGATATTACTTTGTGTGGGATGAGATAATTTTTAGTAAACAGGCAGCCCGACCTTTTAGTATCTTAACGCCAATCATGAAATGCAGTCATTAAATGGGCGAATTGGATCTAAGATTCGGCTTTATTCTCAGTTTTTGTTGACCAAACAAATCTGAAAACAATTTGAAAATTTAGTTTAAGTCAATACAGATGCCATAAAACCCCGATAGATGTCGAAAATTGTGTTAAAAGTGCATTAAATTAAAATCTTAGAAAACAAAATATTACGGTGATTACTAATTGAGGTGATGGAGATTACCAATTGAGGAGCGCGCTTGCCGCAAAACACATTTGGGTGGCGGTGATTACTCGTTGAGGAACTCTGGACTCCCCCCCCCTCATCAGCCGGGGCACCCGGGCGCTTGCCCCCCCCCCCTATGAGATCAAATTTAAAGTAAATAAAGTGCTTTTTGAAGGCGTTAAAGGGCTTTGCCATATTGCCCTCCCCCCCTTTGTGTTTCAGTTACATCTAGGGTCCTGCCCCTTTCACTGCCTAAATTTTCAGTACGTAGCACTTTATGAAACATATTTGACTACATCTGAAAATTTCCATTTACTTTTATTGGTTATTTTTCATACAAAAGAGGTGAGTTGCTTAATGCTTATTCACAAATAGGTTTATTTCTTCAAAAGATCCTTTTATCCAACAAATGATTAAATAACTTTTAAAATACAATTTAATAATATTAATTTGTGTTAATTTTTAGCACAAAATATTCAAAACTGTGTTAAATAACCACGGTTTTAATGTTGATTGTTGAAGGCTCAAGCAACAAAAATAATTAATAAATTCAAATACAGCTGTACACAATAGTCAGATTATTGCTAGACTAGAGGAGGCTAGACGAGCACGTAAGGAATTCTTTAACTGCCTGTGGAACCTTTCCACCATGCCGTTGGACTGAGGGTGGAAAGCTGTGGTGGTCTTGTGCTTGATCTTGAGTAGGGAGCAGATGGTGGACCATAGGGATGAAGTAAACTGGGCTCCTCTGTCACTTGTAATCACTGCAGGTACGCCAAACCTTGAGATCCATCCATGGAACATGGCGGAGGCACACTTCGCCTCGGAAATCCCAGTTAGAGGTATAGCCTCAGGCCATCTTGTTGATCTGTCGATGCATGTGAAAAGGTATGTAAAACCATTAGATGAGGGTAAGGGACCAACAAGGTCCACATGTACATGTGCAAATCTTCTGAAGGGTACAGGAATCTTCTCAGGGCGAATGTGAACGTGGCGGAGGACTTTACCTCGTTGGCACTGCAGGCAAGACTTGCACCAGTCCCGGACGTCGTTGGCTAATCCTCTCCAGACAAACCTTGTAGAAATAAGACGTCTGGATGCTCGAACTCCAGGGTGTGATATTCCATGTAAGGCGGAAAAAATGTTAAACCTTTGAGAAGATGGAACCAAGGGGCGGAGAACTTTCGTCTTTGCGTCACATCTTGTACTGGAACAGTTACGAGGTGGAGGGTGGGGGAAACCTTGAGGCGGAGTATATCTGGGCAGGACAGCTGTTCTTTAGCTAATTCTGAAAAATTAATCACTGAAGAAGTTGGAAAAGGTGATGGAGTTGTTGAAACTGACACCTCAGACACCTCAGACACCTCAGACACCTCAGACACCTATATATTTCAGACCATAATGGGCTAGAATAACTGCGTTATCCTGCCTTAGTACTCCAGGTTGTGCAATACTAGGTTTATAAAACATCTTATTTAAATGTAAATGTAACACTGCCTAAAACCTTTTTTGAATTTAAGCTCATTAAAACTTATGGATGTTATATAAAGTGAATCCAGATTGTTCTTGTATTTCATCGCCTGTCCTGAACTATGAACTAATGAATTAACAGGTGAAAATACATTCCTAGAGAATTCTTAACTTTTGAAGCTTATTTGAGACTTATTACTCCTTTATCTCGTAGACCAAGTCCTCCTCTGATCTACCCACGCCGTACTCCTGGACGAGGATGATCTCTTCAATCTAAAGAGAGTCTGATAGAGCAGATTCAAACCGCCTGCAGAGTGTCTCCTTGCTGGGCACCATCGTCTTCACCTCCTACATGGAGAAGTCCTGTCGGAAGCGTCTTCCTTGCTTCTCTAAACCAGGACTGCTGCTATTAAGCAGATAAAGGTGAAGATTAAATATTAAGCTGCTCTCAAGATGAGATCTAATGTCTAACTTAATCTTATTTAGATCTCATCATTGTCCTCAAGATTGAGATCTGATGTTTAACTCAACCTTATTCGGATCCAATCATCATCTATCCGTACCTCCTCTTGGAGAAGTATCCGTTCCTCCTCTTGGAGCAGTATCCGTTCCTCCTCTCGGAGAAGTATCCGTACCTCCTCTCGGAGAAGTCCCGTCGGAAGCATCTGTGTTTCTCTAAACCGGGACTGCTGCTTTCGAGCAGATAAAGGTATATAATCAAGTTTCGTGTGATTTTTGTGAACAATTAAAGACGAAAGTGTGACTATCTCCTCTAACACATGATAAGCCTTTAATAAACTCTTCTTATTATTTCTAGTTATGTATAAGAGACAGCTGGTAACAATCATCCAACTCTAGAGTTATTAAATTATCCGGCCTAATCAACTTTGTAAGTGTTACTTTAATTTATATATATTTGTCGCAACTTATTCACATTTAGCACATTGTAAGTGTTATTTCAATTCATAATTGTTGTTACAATTTAATCACACTTAGCACACCTGGAGCAAATTTTAATGTAAACTTGGCTAATTTTATTTATTTGAATAACTATAATACTAATTTATTATTTATTTTAACCCGTGACTGATGTATTGTTTTTAAGTTCACAGGTCCTAGCTCTGTATCGCTGTACCAGAAATAAAGAATATAAGAGACTCATGTGTATTAAAGAGATGCGCAATGGAGAATTGATGTTGCCCCATCATGTTAATAGCCAAACAATTCCTGTGGATCTAGGTATTGTTTCTAGGGAAAATGCTAAAATTCCCAAAACGGGCACATTATGATTTGTATTCTTATTTATAGTTTAACGTATTCATTGCTCTGGGAGAAGACATTTTTAGAATTAAAATATTTAAAAGCTTCAAAACCGACGATAATTCTCTTTTCTGATTTAAAACTTGCTGATAATTCATTATTAATATAGATAAAGAAAATATTACAAAGGAATTGAGTCAGTGCAGTAGACCTTTGATATTTCAAATTATGAAATTTGTTATATTAAATAATCCAAGTTTGAAATATCAAAGGTTTACATCAACCGGTTGCAGAGATATAGGGATTAGAACATTTGACTTTGTGGCAAAAACTCAGATCCTTTAACCGTGAAAAATAAAACTGAATGGTTTTAAAAGATTATTGTTAACGATCTCTGACTCTAAATGGGTTTCCAAGAAACAGAGGAATTAAGTAACGACCTTCATCTATGTTGTACAGTTGAATAATAAGTTTTTCATAAGCATGAGGAAAATTCTGAATATCTTAATCTTAAAGGGATTGTTGGGATAAAATGAAAGGAAGTATAGCCTTAGTTTATCTCATGTCTCTGTCTCGAGAAATTAATAAAAAAAATTATTCCAAAACTCATATATATCTTATTTATGTGATATAGTATATGAATCAAAGTTTTAAACAGATCATATTCAGCAAATACGGAACAAATCTAAAAATTAGGATAACCCAGAAGTGCCTGAAAGTTTCAGGCATGCTCCTATCATATTTTGAACAGAATTGAATTGATATAATTGATTATATAATTGTTTCGTCTGAATCATGTGACCAGAATTTCCACCAATGGCAGTGCAGTATCTGGTCACATGGATCCGTCTATATCACATGGCTATAATTTCCACCTATATTTGTTCAGTGTCTGCATTCATGGGACTTCCTCGGTCATTTTACGTATATATAAGATTTGGTATAAGTTTGACACAGTTTTATATCAATTTCTAGAGGAAAAGACACCAGATAGAACTAATGTCGCGATCAACTCCTAGAATTTCTAAAAAGCTTCTTTTTTATTACTTGTAAAATTGTAGTTGGCTGGTAAGCAATAAGCTGGTAAACAATTAAATCTTAAATAAAAAATCGTCCTCATTGTATTGATATAATCGCGTACCACTGCAGTTGAACTGCAGGAGCGTTTCAGGTCCTGACAGACCCTGAACTAACCCTTGGAAGAAAAAAAAATTTAATCCCCCCCCCTCAGGACAAATTCTTGAATATGCCCCTGAACTGGTTCAAGGTAAATACACAACAGAAAGTAAGCCAGTCCAGCCTTTCTACTCTGTCTAAGAAAAGTTTGACTTGTTAACAATCTTTGTTATTGTTTTAATATAAAACTATTTCCTAGTAGTCAAAATACTTCACAAATGAATATGTGTACAGTTTACACAACCCCTATTCCCCTCTACTTATATTCAAGATTGACTTAATATCTAGAATCTAGTAATTTTAAGCGTTTTAGGGCTTGTCCGATTCACAAATCCCCCCATTGTTTCTGCAGAAATCCGCAACTCACTTTTGTAACAAAACCACAATTAAAATTAATCAAGTTTTTTAAAGCACAACATGACTATTTTAATAATTTAACATTCTTTATAATTTTTTACACGTGTTTCGCGAGCCTACGCTGGAAGCCAAGTCTATTAGGTATCCCTGTTTAACCAGTTTTTATCCCTGAACTCTAGTTGTACATTTCCAAGGAAAGAAGCTGAAATGCAGAACCAGTTTTGCCGACATGTAGTTTTATTCTCTGCTCATGCGCAGAATATCATGTGTTTAGTTAGTATACTGTATTTTTGTGATACACAGACATATTTGTCGTTTATATGTATATGATTATCGTGCAAGTGTCGGAGGACTAATGTGGTAATTATAAACTTATTAAGATTATTGAATTGTATTGTCCTCATGTATGTATTTATTCTTATATTTTTAGCTTCATACTACAGTTTTTTAACGTCTGGATACTGTTATGATTCGTTTGTTGCATGAATGTGCATTGCTAAGTTATATTATCTAAAAGCTTTTTCTGCAGGCTAAGACTTAATTATTTGTCAGATTGAAGCACCAAGCCTTAATAAAACTTGAAGATCATCCTGTTTTGATTTATCATGAAGAGATCTGATAGAATAGGAGCTTACAATCAGGCCCAACGAAACACTACACGATAGTTAGCTGGTTTATCTCTAGGGCAACGTAGTCAGTTGCAAAACAATGTGTACAGTGTGTGATGTTGTGTATATCCTCTTGCATTTACCTGAGATGGTTCAACAGAAGAGTGTTCTACTGGAGCTAAATCTATTCCTTCACTAGCCAGGTAACTTCTAGTAAACTCATCACAATCAATTAGGGTTACATCCCGTCCATATAGGTTCAGCTTAACTCCTAGATAATAGGTTCAGCTAAACTCCTGGATAATAGGTTCAGTTCTACTCCTAGATAATAGGTTCAGCTTAACTCCTAGATAATAGGTTCCGTTCAATTCCTGTATAATAGGTTCAGTTCAACTCCTAGATTTAAAGTTCAGCTTAACTCCTAGATAATAGCTTCATTTCAACTTCTAGAATATACATTCAGCTTAACTCTTAGACAATAAGTTCAGCTCATTTCCTTGATAATAGGTTCAGCTTAACTCCTAGATAATGGGTTCAGCTTAACTCTTAGATACACGATTCAGTTGAACTCCTAGATAAAAGGTTCAGTTAAACTCCTAGATAATAGATTCAGTTAAACTCCTAGATAATAGCTTCAGCTTAACTCCTAGATAAAAGGTTCAGCTTAAGTTCTAGTTAATAGGTTCAGCTTAACTCCTAGATAATAGGTTCAGCTTAGCTCCTAGATAAAAGGTTCAGCTCAACTCCTAGATAATAGGTTCAGCTCAACTCCTAGATAATAGGTTCAGCTTAGCTCCTAGATAATAGGTTCAGCTCAACTCCTAGATAATAGGTTCAGCTTAGCTCCTAGATAATAGGTTCAGCTCAACTCCTAGATAATAGGTACAGTTCAGCTCCTAGATAATAGGTTCAGCTTAACTCCTAGATAATAGGTTCAGCTTAGCTCCTAGATAATAGGTTCAGCTCAACTCCTAGATAATAGGTACAGTTCAGCTCCTAGATAATAGGTTCAGCTTAACTCCTAGATAAAAGGTTCTGCTTAAGTTCTAGCTAGTAAGTTCAGCTCAACTCCTAGATAATAGGTTCGGTTCTACTCCTTGATAATAAGTTCAGCTCAACTCCTAGAGGGAGCATTAACCTCCTTTCTCCCCTTTATACGCTTTTGACTATAACTATAGATCTGAACTGAAAAAGTAATAAATTATGTCGAATGTGTTAAATTCCAATATGCCTAATAGTATTTTCAAGGTTTGTTTTAATTCAAGGAGTTACAGAGTATAAAATCAGGTTTAGCATTACGTGTTGCCAAAGAACTAGGTTTGAACCAATGCATTGGTTCAAACCAATGCATTGGGTTGTGTGTGGCTCTATCTATTCAACCATTTTGACGTTTAAAGGAAGAGGGACCGGCAATGTATGGTAGTTAAACTAAGAATGCTGTTTTGTAAAGAGATTTTTTAGGATTCATTTGAGAGATTTGAGATCTATCAAACGTTTTAACGTTCTATATTTGTTTAAAAATTCTATTTTGAAAATCCTCCTTCATTGTCCATTCTGGAGAGATGTTTTTGATAATCAGATTTTTAAAAATCATTCAATAACAATGACGAAACAAAATTTCTAAAGTAAACTACTGGATGTTTAGAAACATATTTCTCAATAGAAATTTGTCAATAAATCAATGTTAGAATCAATTATTTCCTTTTCATCGTTATATTGAATTTCTTGTTCTTTACAAATTTGTTCGCAGATTTCTTCAAATTCTTCAAATGTCGCCTTTTCAATAAAAATTGCATGAAATCTACAGAAAATGTTTGTTAACAATGAGACATTACAGAAACTTATAACTGCATAAGATTTGTAATTTTTGATGATAAGAGTAAATTTTTATTTTCTCATCTATTCCTAAACAACTTATTGTCCTACTGCCGAATTTTTATTACATTTTTCGTTATCGTCATTGAATAATTTTTAAAATCCGATTCTCAAAATCATCCCTCCAAAATGGAAAACCTATGAGGATTTTTAAGAATTGAATTTTCCCTCTTGCTGAACAAAAATTTGCACCGTAAAAACGTCTGATAGGTCTCAAATGAATCCTAAAAAGTTACTCTTCAATACTACAGTTCAACTACCATACATTGCCGGTCACTCCCTTTAAGGGATCCAAACCAAATTTTACTCTTTGCCACTTTTGTATTACAAAATATTTGTGCAGATTTTAGGGAAAAGGATTGAGATGATGATTACCTAGGTTAAGCTGGGTCCAATGCCAATATTCTCCATCTGCCCCCGACCTAGTTCCTCTGGGGACTCTATGCCTTTTCATCAGAACACCCTGTAATCAAATATATAAAAACTTTCGGTTTGAAATATATAATTAATTAATTGAAGTAAGTAAATGAATTTTACCTTTCTTTTTAAAGGTTTTCAAATATCTAAATTTCAAACCCTTAACTTAATTAGCATTTTAGATTTGTAAAAAGATGTTTAGATTTCACTGCACACCTTGTACCAATCTTGTACCCTTCCCCAGGAATAGAAAATAAACATTGCAATTTTAATTTTGCAGCAAAAACAGATTTAATCAAAGTGTTGAGACTAACAATAAGAAAATTGCAAGATTAAAAATACTAAAAAGAAAATATTATATTATTTTGTTTCCTGGTAATCAATTGTGTTTGATCTGTCATTTATTTTAATGAAATTGTAAATTGTGGAATCTCGTAGAGTGGAGATATTTTAGAGGGAGGTTTGTGGACGAGATAGAAGATAACTTAGTTACATTTTAAACATGTTGAAACATTTTATACAGTCATAACCAGAAGACTTAAAGACTCGAGTTATGACTTGAAATAGTCCAATGAGCTTGGGACACCGAAATTGCACAGTGAAACAGACATACTTCACTTAATTAGTGATTTAATAAGTATCTGGTAAAACTTTTTGCTTTGTAACAGCCTAAAATACACATAAGTATTGCTATAAAGTCGTCTTTCTATTTCAGAGTTTTCTGGTTATCACTGTAGAAATTGCCAGTAAAGAATTATAATGCATTTTCATTTATACTGGTATATTTTTTGGTTATCACCGTACTTTTAGATCCAGTTAATCTTACAATTTTTAATCTACTTAAATACCCCAATAGGTGTACGCTTAATTGATAAGATGTTGTGTATTTTCGGTCTAGACTACATGGCCCCGCATTTAAGAATGAGGAATACAAGAAGAAAATATTTTGTTTAAAATATGGAACCATATTGAATTTATAAAATAATTAATTTTGTGATTGTGGATGGTTCATTTAACTTATTTCAAATCTAAAGTATCAATATTTCAAAATAAAAAATTCAAACTTGTATTTTTAACTCTTATGCTAGAAATACGTATATGTAAAAATAATTTGACCACGTTGCCTATCCATTATCTTGACAACCTCAATGTATGCAACGACGGAGGGGGTGCAGTGCCGCCATTAGCCGCACAAAACGATCTCCGAAGCCTCCTGATACGCAGAATGCCCTCCAAGCCCCGTAAAACCGTCTCCGTACCTCTCGCAACCTCTCTAAGCCTCTACCATTCTGTCTCCATGCCCCGCATTTTGATCTCCAATAAAAAATCATCCACAAAAAAATTGTTCTTTTTTTCAAATAATCTCAATATGATAAACTACTTTTAATGATAAATAAACAATTTATTTTGAAAAAAATTTTAAATTAAGATAAAGACTTTTACTTTTGTTTAGCTTAATTTCATAAATTTCTTAACTTTTGAATAGTATTGCAGAAATCATAAAAGAAAGAGTAATTTTATATTATTTTACAGGTTTATCTTGTACTTTGTGGAGAAAACAATTCTTTAAACTATTTTGGATTTTAATATGAAGAGATAGATTTTAAATTTTGGTTGAATGAGCCATTTAAAAGGTAAATAAAAAACTATAGAGGACGTGAGTCAGACTCTAATAAAAACGCATAAATAGCTTCCAGTATATATATTTCTTATAACTTATTACTAGAGGGTTCAGAACTAGAGTCAAATATCGATATCCCACGTGTAGACTGTAGAAGATTTTATCAGTACTATGCCCCGTATCTCATTCTGTTGAATCTTGTGGAACTAGTTTAACTAGGAGGCGGGGGCCTGTCGGTGCAGCTGAGGAACGATGAGGAAACACAGATCTTGACGCTCCAGTGTCAACTAAATTATCACGGTTTGACAGGGCATCTTGAAGGTACACGAGATAACCGCCGACGGGATTGCATTAAACTAGATTTGATTTGAAATAAATTTTTAAAAAATTCTGGAATAAAACACGGTCGTGATTCATAGGGGCGTATACAGGGTGGGAGGGGTGAATCACGGGCGTATATAGGGGGGTGGCAAGGGGCAGTGCCCCCCTAGACCTGAAAAGGGGGGGGGCGTATTTGGATTTAATTTGCACCGCCGTTATGTAATCTTTAGCTTTTTATTACAAACTAGCTGATGTGCCAGGCGTTGCCGTGGAATTCTAAAAATCGAATTAAAACAAAAAACTTGTAATTTATTTAGCTTATGGTATCCCCAAGGGTATTCATGAGTTTCCTCACTAAAATTCAGCCCATTTGATTCTGTCGTTTGGGTGGGCAAAAAAAATTTTGCCCCCCCCCCCCCTTAGATTTATTTCTAAGAAGACCCTGCATCCTCTGCAGGGTCTACTAGGATAATTTGAATTGAGGGATCAATTAGATATCGAGATCAAGTGTTAAAACTTAGTTATAATCCACACAATAGTTCCTACCTCTGAAATCTGAAGTATGTGTTCCATAGTTTAAAAAACAGATAAAATACCTTACTAAACCTTTCTTAAACACTTCTTTAAGAATGTTCTTTACGCGGAGTTAGATTTAGAAATATATTCAACTTGACCAATGTTAAACTGGGGCATTAACTTTTCATGTTTAGTAGTTCACACTGTACCTGATCTAATCCAGAGTTATGTTGTCTTGGCTCTAAAATCAATCAATCATGTATTACTGATCATTTTGAAGAAAAAATGATTTTTTAAAACTAAACATTATACAATATTTATATTTTTAACAACTGCACTGTGAAAAAGGGGCAGAATCCTATAAAAAAATAAATGTTAAAACACATGTTTTTTTAACAGATATATTTCAATCCTCTCAGTATGAATTTAATAATCATGTTCTTATCGATATTAATTCTCCAGTTTTTGATGTTTTAAGGCATTACCATTTTAGAATTCTAGTTTTTTGAATCAAAAAGTCTGTATTTCATTGAACTTATCCATTGCTTCTATATTCAAAAAATCCACAAGCACTTTTGTAGAAAACTAAACTACAAATAAAAATAAACATTTTAAATATACAAAACACATAGATTCAGCCTGCTTATTTTTAAGATAGGGTCGACTTTGAAGTGTCGCAACGCCTTGGGTTTAGATTTTACCTCTCTAACTCACTTATGCTTTTATGTAGCCCTTTACGTGTACATTTTAGCAGTATAAAGCAATTTTTGTTAGCTTTTGTATTCAAGAAGAAATCTTATATAATTCAAACTTGATCAGATAAAGCGTTTAAGGGTACCATTGTAAATCTGGCATTGTCATGTTTGCATGGAGGGTCATTTGAACTTACGTTTACAGTCTCTTTAAGCCCTTAAACATATTATTTTGCCCTTTAAAAAAATGTAAACATATTCTTGGTGTACAGATTGTTTCCTATAAGGGTAATAGTATCATCCTGTAGATGGTATTGAAGCTGGATATATCGAACCCTCTCTTCGTCCCCAACTTTTTCTCTAAAGTGTCCACAAAACCTTTAAACAGGGTAATTTTATAAAAAAAAATCATGTTTGACAATTATGATCAACTTACCTTAACACTTTTTTATCCAAAGTGCAGAATTTTGGAACAAATGGTGGAGGTGCAGCATATCTTGTAAGTCCTAAAAAACAAATGGTTTGGTTTTTTATTCTAGGTGAATTATGTTGATATTTATTATTTAATACTAGTTAGCTGGTGTGTGAGAAATAAACCTGGCCCAGTTTCTCTCATTCTTTTTAAAGTATAGTCCCCCCAGGGTACTCATGGGTTCCCTAAAAAATCAGCCAAAACGAAACCAACTAGTCTTTGAATTCTCCAAAAAATTTTAAAAATAATAATTGTTTTAAAAATTTAAACTTTAAACAATTGAACTCAATATGCTCAACAAATATTGATAATAATGATAAATTTAAAAATGCCCCTGCTATAAACACTTAACTCAAGTCTAAAACCAAACCAAATATTTACAGAAGTAACTCCTTAAATAAAGTGAAACCAAACAATGAAATATACCTGCCACATCCTCAGGGTCTGGGTATTCATGGGTATTCATCAACTAAAAAGAAGGATTTAGGATTAAGAGATTGAAGCTAATGGACTACATTGTATTGATAAAAATCAGTTTGATCAAAATCAAGAAAAGTCCATTTGTATTCTATGGTTGGAATTATAAATAATGTTTACAATTTTGTTACAAAGAAATGAATTGGGCAGATTGCTATGCTGACTTTCTTCATATCTGGATATCCTCCTACTTCTTTACCAGACTTATACAATTTGGTGAACAAGGTAGCTGCTGATGGAGCAGAGTATCTCCTCCTACTATACCTGACTATGTGGAGAATGAGGTAGCTGCTGATGGAGCAAAGTATCCCCTCCTACTATACCTGACTATGTGGAGAATGAGGTAGTTGCTGATGAACTGGAGTATCCCCTCCTATACCTCCTGGAAGCCGAGCAACACGGCATCCATTCCTCCATCCCAACGACTAAGAAATCGACAAAGGAAAGATGAAGGCCTCTAACTTTTTTATTTGCAAAAGTTTTAAAAGTTTACGATTATTTGCATCATTTGTTTACTTTTATCTATTTTATTTCTTGAACCTTTATTTAAAAAAAGATATTTAAATACCTGTGAACGATGATACTGCAACTTCCCTAAAATATTTACATTTTTAAATTTTAAGTCATTCACATGCAGTTTTTTCAACATTACATATCATGGAAGAAATGTTTGATGCTTACAACGAAATGAAGCTTACCAATTGTTAGATTTCCAACTGTGTATCTATAATCAGGTCCAGGCAGGATTGGAACATTTGGAGGATTTTTTTCAGGAAACGGCATTTTGATTGTTAGATTGATTGATTAATTAGATAACCGCTGCAATAAATGTTGTGTTTCAGATAGTTTATGGCTAAATCCATTTATGTCTAAAATATATATTTCATATCGTCTTTGCCATATTTATTGCTCAAACATTGTAAATGTAAACAGTTTTTAAAGAATTTATATCATACTTTAACCATAAAGTATTAAACTTCAGGCATCTAAAAAGATTTATTTCTCCTCCGTACTTTCTAATTCTGGATTAAACTTTTTCTTTGACACTTTATTTATTATTATTTACAAGATTATATTCAAAGCAAAATACACCATTAAACAGATCGTTTTATATAGATCTAATTCAACTAAATTCTTATCCTTTCTGGGTAACCCTGTATTTCAAAGAATTAAAATTCTAGTATATGTTGATGAAAACCCCGGTTAGTTTTCAGTGTTATGTCCTCACGCTTGATTTTGGTGGAATAAACTGCGTGAATTGTGCGGGGAATATATTGAAGAATATAATTCATAAGTTTGTTCGATATCCCCCCCCTTCTCCTCTTTATATATTATTACATGGGAATCCCCTCCCCTTCCCCTCTTTATATATTATTACTTGGGAATCTCCCCCCCTCTCCTCTTTATGTATTATTACTTGGGAATCCCCCCCCCTCTCCTCTTTATGTATTATTTACTTGGGAATCCCCCCCTCTCCTCTTTATATATTATCACTTGGGAATCCCCCTCCCCCCTCTCCTTTTTATGTATTATTACTTGGGAATCACCCCCCTCTCCTCTTTATATATTATTACTTGGGAATCCCCCCCCCTCTCCTCTTTATGTATTATTACTTGGGAATCCCCCCCCCTCTCCTCTTTATGTATTATTTACTTGGGAATCCCCCCCTCTCCTCTTTATATATTATCACTTGGGAATCCCCCTCCCCCCTCTCCTCTTTATGTATTATTACTTGGGAATCCCCCTCCCCCCCCATTCATGTAAGTATGGAAAATTTGACGTACACTTTATTATCAAAATTCCAATGGTTTAGATTTAAAAGTTTCTCATTTTGAATGGTCGTGTTTCAGTTAATGAGAAGAAAAATCAAACTTTATACAGACTTCTAGGTGTAGAAAGTCACTTTTTAAATCCTACTTTTTAGTCGTTTGTCTATAGTACGTATAGAACTCTCTTTTTTAATTTAAATCTACACTTAAAAAATTATATCATTTGAGATTTTTTAAGAAATTGGTTAAAATAAGAAATAAAAGTGTAAATAAAATTGTCAGCACAAATAAAGTGTTGTAATGTCGTCTTCTGTATTATTTTGCGTCCGTTCTACTTTAAAAATGTTCCTCCCTTGAACATAAAAAAAGTATAAATCCTTGGAATTTAAGTGCAGCACTCATATGGCCTAGTAAGATCTGTTTAGAAACTGTTTATTTGTTAACCCAATCTTCACTTAAACTTCACTATCTAGCTTTTATATACGAAGATGCTATCATTCAATTATAGTTGTTTAAGACATTTACTTACCCAAATAAAAGTAAAAAGTAAAATAATTTACTTTTTTGTTAAAGTTTTTTGGGGAAAAGAATTTAAAGAATGGATTTATAGATTCTCACCAAATATACAGCAGTGATAACCAGAAAACTCTGAAATAGGAGGACAATCCTTTTAGACTCAATTGTTATGACTTTAAATAGTTTAATGAGCAGTATAAACAGACCCATTTAAATTTTTTGTGATTTAAAAAATGTCTTAAAACTATTTGATTTTAACAGGATAATAAACACTTTATTGCATATATAGTCGTCCTCCTATTCCAGAATTTTCTTGTTATCACTGTAGGATTAAAATGTTTAAAACGTCGACATTTTGAAAATTCTTTAGATTCTTTCTCAACTACGAATCTGTGTAAGTACAATTAGTGCAATACAATTATTTTTAATCTGCGCAAACCAAATTTTTCAAAATGGCGACCTCTTGAATGTATAAGTCGTCCTTAATGTTGTATGAGTACGGAGTCAGTAAATATATACCGGGTGGTCAAGATCTAATAAAAAAATAAACGCTGAATAATGGACATTTTTTAACAATGCATAACACATGTAGTAAATGCCCTACTCTATAACAGTTTCCCGAACAAGTATCTATCCAGGTACAACTCAGATTCTCTGGACTATCAATGTCAAAACATGGATATAATCTCGTAACTATCAATGCCAAATCAAAGAGCCCAATCCTCAACCTGTTTAAAAAACAGGGAACCACACGCCTACAATCCCGTGAACCATCAACGCCACTACAACTGGGTGCGATCTTGTTAGCTATCGATATCAATTGGAAGCTCGTAACTATCAACGCCAAATCAAAGGGCCCAATCCTCAACCTGTTTATCAAAACAGGGAACAATTATTCGTTCGCAGTAAACAGTACAGAGTTTCTATATTAACTAAGGTATATTTTTCCAGATTATATTAGAATTGGGTCTCCAACAGAGTAATTTCAAGGTATGCGCTGTTATATATAACGTAGCAATTACAATATGGATATGACGGAGTTATTTATATCTACATGCATTGAATGGGTTAATCGCAAAACATGATTTACATATTTACTAGTGGGCACATTTAGGATATATGGACAATATACAACGTAATTTACTATGGACCTCTATCTTTGCTACACATTTGTCCCAAACAGATAAGAATTAAAGGGTTCACCTAACAATTAATGAAGAAAAATATGAGGTTTAAAATCATTAAAAAAGGATTTTTAACCTGTCTCTTTAAAGATTTTAAAAAAAGTATTATAGAGGACGTGAGTCAGACTCTAATAAAACGCATAAATAACTTCCAGTATATATATTTCTTATAACTTATTACTAGAGGGTTCAGAACTAGAGTCAATCTCGATATCGCACGTGTAGACTGTAGAGATGATATCAGTACTTATGCCCCGTATCCGTTCTATCTCATTCTGTTGAATCTTGTGGAACTAGTTTAACGCGGCCAGGCATCGTCTTCCACACTAT